ATAATAACTACTCAAATAAAATACTGAAAATATCCTGAATGTGACTCTTCAATTCTACGACGTGATGAAGCAGGGGGTATAGGCACAGTAGGACCAGAGGACACTCTCTTCTATTATTATCTACATGTACTCTTGTTATAAGTTTATAACGAATACTTGACCACGTGGTAGTACGTGAATTAGATCTACGTGTAGTTAACTAGTAGTTATTAACCTGTGGTTGCAAAATTTTGAAAAACATGAACTTTTTGACAAAATTTTGTCAACAATTGAGCAAACCCATCTGATCCTGTAGGCTGTACATCATGTTGAATACACACACTGCATGGAGTACATGAACTATTAGTGTCCGGCTTGTTAATTATTTTTATCAGATAGCCTGCCTTCTCAAGTTATTTTTTTCTGGTCCCTGTTGTACAAACTGGTGCCATCTGGTACACTTTAGGCCAGAATGACCAGTGAGGCAGTAACCACTGTCATATTATGCCTACCAATCAGCATTAGATCACTATCAGTCGCAAAATTTGCTACAATCAATAAAAACTTTTGGTATCAGTAAAAAAGTTTTAAAAACCTAGCCTATTTAATAAGGTTTCATGTTCACAATTAATTAACAATAACATCTTCATCAGCAACACTATCAAACAGTTCATAATTTTTCCTTTGCTTGTGACGCTTATGTGCTATTATAGCTGCAGTAACAGGATCATTAGGATGAGCCTTACAAATTGCTCTGCCAACAAATTGAGCAAATAGAACTCTTGACTTTGGACCAACATTACGAACAATGGCAGCAACACTAACATTGGTGTTATCATATCCTTCCCTGAGCTTATTAACAATTACTAATGTTCGTGTAGCTCCATTTTGAAATTCTGTCAAAACAGAAGTGGGACTACCAGCAACATATATTTCACAATGATAGCCAGGAGGTGCTACTTCATTATATTCATGGAAAAAATCTATGGCTGAATTTGTGCCTCCTTCTTCAGCTGACTGCGTCAATACCATTGCCTGGTGCTTCACACTTGGATCCTGTATGTCATGCTCACACAGAATTTGTATAATTTTAAAAGAAACTTCCTATAAAAATTATACTTAATAATAAATATTAATGTGATTTTTCAAGCATACCAGCATTGCAGTATGCTCATCTTCATCTTCTGATATGCCAACTTCATGAAACTCCTTTTCCCTTATAACTCCATCATCAATAGCTTTGCGCAGGCTCAAATGAA